TATTGAAAAATGTTATTAGATGTTATTTTCTCACTTAAGTAATGACCTTAGACTGATATGGAACCATTTTCCTGACATTTTTTTTTCGACAATTATTTCACTATCCGAGAGTGACGATTAATATTCAATGTCCGACATTGATTAGTAATTTAGGGTTGAGAAAACTTTGCCCATTGATGTCAATAGACCTCAGGTCCATTGACCAGATCCATTGATCCCATTGGGAATCTTCTGAACCAATGGACAAGTAAGTTATATAAAAATTTTTTTAAATTTTTTTAATTATTTGTTAATAGTTACTACATATTAAAGGCAAAATTTTATTAAGCAAATCTATGTTGGGGTATTAAGTAAAGTTGTTCAGGAGAACAAATTACATATAAACAAAAATTTTGAGATTTTTTATTAACTTTTTACTAATTAATATTTGTGTTATACATTTTTTAAAAAATTTTAATATTTTTTATAGAAACGTAAAACGCAAATATTAATTAGTAAAAAGTTAACAGTTAATATAAAAGTCGTAAAATTTCAGTATATACGTAATTTGTTCTCTTGAACTGCTTTACTTAATACCTCAATATCGATTTACTTAATAAAATTTTGACTTTAATATGTAGTAACTATTAATTAATAATTAAAAAAAATTTTTAAAAAAGTTTTATTTAATAAAAATTAACCAATGTATCATTGATACATTTATTTATAATGGATTGTCGAGTCTTTTTGCGGTCACGTGGTTCTTGGGTCTTTTAACAACCACCCTAGCGTTAAATTTTTATTAATTAAACTAAAATAAACTTTTAAATGACCGGATAAAATAAAATCATCTAATCTACTTACGTGAAAATGACCGGATAAAATATTACACATAAATTTCATCTAATCTACTTACGTGAAAAGAGTTTCTAATTAACATGTGATTTAAATATTAATCGTCACCTCAGTGAAATAATTGTCGAAGAAAAATGTTGAGGAAATAATATAGATCCGAAATAATTACAGTAAATATATGTAAATATACTGTATTTTACTGTAATTAATCTTTTTAACCAGTGAGGGTCCCGGAAAATAAGACCCCCTAGCGTCACCAACCTAAAAAATTCGCTATCTGGTCAAATTAAAATTCAAGATAAAGTGTAACATAAAATCAAAACCGTAACCCTAATGCCGGTAGTGAAATTTTCTAGAGTGGTGATGCTAGGGTCATAGAAAAAAAGGTCGCCCAAAATACAAAATTGGAAATTTCATAAATGGACCTACCTATAAAATGACGAGGCCATTAAAAATAAAATAAAAAAGGAATCAGAAAATAAAAGCCATTACTAAACTAGAAAATTGCCTTCGCACCAAGTAATTTTGAAGTTATAAATAAGAGATATTTACCTTTGTGAAAGATATTATATAACATTATAAATAAATAATCTAATAAAAAGTATTAATATAACTAAAAATATTAACTGACGTACCATAAGTCCTACACAAAGTGCACAAAACCAAATTAATTAATAAACCGACTAAAAATCAATTCAAATCTGATGATCGTCTAAAGTTCAGAAGTTATAAAGTTAATAATATTTGATTTACATATTCATATAGTATAACTATTTATTTTGTGTCGGGTAGGATAAAGCACGACCAAAATTCAGCGGATTGGATCGGCATTGCCCGAAATCATTAAATAAACTTTGCTAAAAAAATCATAGACCACTCATTAAGTAAAGTTGCCTAGATGATGATAATTTTACTATAGTATGGTTGACCAGCATTATTGCTTAATACCAACTAACTCAGACCCGGAATTGTGAGTCGATCCACTGAATTTTGGTTGCGCCTCTAATCTACTCGGATAAAGCGGAGTAGTTTTTTGATAATCGACAGATAATCTACCAATCATTTGTGAAATTTGACTAACTAGGATCAGTCCGACAAAGCAAAACAAGAGAAAAATACCTACCTCGGAGCATTAATAAAATCGTCAGTGAGGCAATTTTACATATATGCACTTCTAAATATAACTTGAAATGACCCAAACCCTAATATTAATTAAATTAGATGACTTTTTAAAAATTACTTCGTTTTAGCCTCCCTCTTATTTGGTTATCTAGCTTTACATATGCTTTATTTATCCATAGACACATTATTTGTTTAATGTAAGGACAGATCTTTAATTTGAAATGACGATGCGTGTAAGATCTATGACGTGTGGACGTAAAATGAGTAGAGTGCACCATTAGTAAAGAAAAAGAACTTGCATTTACCTTTAACAAACTTTTCGAATTCGATTTAAATAAAATAGTAAACGTAAGCCGAAGTGACCTTTCCTCGTGCTTTTAGTATCATTATCATATTTCAAAAAATTTCGACGTCTAACACAATTCGTCGATATCATCATCCCAACTTTCGTCGTTGTCGAAGCTAATTTCCCTTATTAATCAAGCTCTTCTAAAATCAACAGTGATAGGCGATGTATGTCTAAAAATTTCTTCATTTATTTATAATTTCGGCATTTAAAAGTGAATATCGACAAAACAATAACTATTACAATTCGGTGTCTGTTTAAATTCATTTTGTTCATTACAGATGTTTTCATAAATTCTGGGACACCTAAAAAATTTATTCGTTTCCCGAAATTTCTTCGATTTCGTTCTGTGAATTATCTAACTCTTCGGAAACTACATCGCTGTCTCCGGAACTTCGGTCCGGAGACAGCGATGTAGTTTCCGAAGAGTTAGATAATTCACGAATAAATTTTTAGGTGGCCCAGACTTTATGAAAACAGCTGTAAAAAAAACAAATGTATAGAATTTTATCAAATCAATATCATGTTATTTTTACGATTTTTAAACATATGATTAAAATCCAACGAATCGGAGTTTAGATTATGATTTGGTAAAATAACCAATAGATTAATTGTTAAATATCAATTTCGCTATATATTTTATTTTAGAGTTTTTTTTAAAATAATAATTATTATTTTATTAATTCAAAGTGAGTGAATAATAAATTTTATATTATAATATTTTATTAAATGTTTAATTTACTTATTATTTTGAGAATGATTTTAGAATTTAATCATTCGAATTTTATAATTCGATTTGTTCAAAAATCAAAAAGAAGAATTTATATTGAAGATAGATTCGGAAATCCAACTAATCTTAGTAGTTTTAGATGTGAATATCAAACATTAAGAATCCAAATTCCCAAACCTCGAAATCCTATGAATAACGATTATTTTGAATTAACTGATTCTACTGCCTTTTGTGAAGTTAAGAATTCCGCTGGGGATGTTCTTTTTAAATATAACCAATATGCTTAATTTTAATGATTTATCATTATTGTATTATGAATAAATTTTATGTTATTATTTTGAATTAATAAATTTGTAACCCCGGTTATTGTAACCGTAGTTATATTTGTGTAACATATTAACAATCAATTATACTACGTAGCGCTAGTAATTGTGTTACGTTCATGCAGCATGAAAATTCAATTTTCTCTCTGTTAGGTTTTGTCATGAAATTTGATTTGGCCTGATAGCGAAATTGTTACACTAGATGATTGTTATTTTAAAGTGAACTGCCTAACCTAAAAAACCCTCTAGTAGTAATTTAGTAATTTTTAAACTTCGCATCGATTATATACTACAGTATCATTCTTATTTCTCAATATTTAGTTAACGGGAAGAGGTTCTTAATACGAAGCATCCATATAATTGATGTGAAGTAATATCTGTTATATATCGATATAAATAAACTAAATGATTAATTGAGTGCTGCGGCTACACATTTTGATAGTATTTCAAAACTGGGTTTAATATACAAGAAAATAAAATGGTTCTAAATGCATTTAATGTACAATAAAGTCATATTTGGTATCATGAATACTAATTCGTACTATGTACAAGGCGAAATATGAAAAACTAGATTTCTTTTTTTAGTATTATTGCATATTTAACCTTCCTTTTTTTTTAGATATTTCAGATATAACAATAATGAAGTCATGAATAACATGAATAATTCAACCTGATTACAAGAACAAATACTACCAAATAACTTCAATAATTGTTAGCTAATGCATCATAAAGCAATAATATAAATTAAAATGCTAAACGCATATACCATATACTAAATATTATCTCAACTTAGACCAACTTCATTACTCGTGATGTATTGATTAGTAGTAAAATAACATGAATGAATCTTAGATTGTTAATGCAATTAATTATCAATTAGCTATACTACCTCGTATAAGTTATATAATTACTGACCTTACACATAATTACTAACATACAGTACATAATTACTGACCTTATACATAACTACTAACCTTATTATTATTATATAATTACAAGTTAACAGTGCAGGTTTTAGCATAATGATTAGGCTGCTTACAGTGAGAACAAAGGCGTGTAGCTTTCTTTTTTCTAATATTTGATTGAGCCTTTTTTGTTTCAAGTGAACTTTTAATACGTTTGACTTTTGGTGCTCCTTTTCTTTTTTTGACTACTAGATCTTGAACTATAGACACATCAAATGATATAACATTTTCTTGATCATTGTCTGAATCACTTTATTTATCATCTTGCATTTCTCTTGAAGTAGTGTTAGCAACCAAGTGTTGATTAGAATTTACAGAAAATTGCTAAATAAAATTTTTCAGAAACTTATTAAGTATTTTCATTATAGTAGAACTAGTATCCAACCTAATAGCTATAGCTTTTTTACAAAGGCTATTCGTAATTCTATATACATGGTGAGTATTAAATATTTTGATACATTAAAAGAAATACCAGAACTCAAATACATAGAAGTTGAATTTGATATGAAGTTGAAGTTAAAATAGCACTTCTATTTTTATAAGTAATATTCATCTGAATATCAATATTGCAGAATCATAAGAATATGAAAAGCTGCAATTTGAGAAATTGTTATTACTTTTTTAAAATAGTAATAAAAAAGACTCCAATTGACAAGTTGTATACAAGTACAAATATGATCACTATTTTTGAGTATAATAATATAGTTTTTATATAATGAACAATAATGAGTAGTCTTCTATACTTCTTTAATAGATAAAGTAGACAAATTTGTAATAACTTTATTGATATTTGCTGCTTAAGAATCATCAAAATCTTCATAAAATCTATTCTTACTTTTTTCTTATAACAGATTAATATTAAAGTTTTCTTTAGAAACTAAATTTTTATTGTACTAAAGAGCTTTTGCTATTTCAACTCTCTGTAAAGATAAAACAGATGGAGTCAAAAATTCAGAAAGCTATTTGTTAACTTCAGGCAATAATTGAGCTGATAGAGATATGTAAGTAGGTTTAGTATAAGCTTAAAATCAATTAATATAATGAATGTATATCGATTTCTGAGCAAGTTGTGAGTCTAGAATATTATCAAGTTTAGATAAACTAGTTTTACTTATTTTATTAGATTTGACAATTGTATTAATGTATTCTACTTATTTTGTAAATTGAAAATCTAAACTAATTCCTATTTTTCTTTGGTACTGTAAAGTTATTTAAAATATTAATAAGCAACTTCTATTCATATTCAAAATATTGTTTTGACAAACTATTATATATCTTGTACTAGTTTTTTATAAACTCATTCTAATTTGATCTGAGTTTACTTTTTAGATTTTTTATAAGATTTTGACTAATTTGATATATGTATTTTATTCAATAGATTTTAGATATAATATTTTCAATAGCAGGTTTGTATTATTTCACAGATACTTAACTCACAGATATGCTACTTTATAGACAATCAATTTACTGACAAGCTTATTTCATAGATAACTAATTTCTAGACAAGCTCATTTTGTAGACAACTTATTTAATAGATAGCTCACTTCATAGACAAGTTTATTTTTATAAACTTCTCTAATCCTAACTCTAACCCTAACCATAATCTAATAAAAATAATGTCTATAAAATGAGATGTCTATGAAATAAATTATCTATAAAATAAGCTTGTCTAGAAATTAGTTGTCTATGAAATAAGCTTG